GAGTCTGGGTTGGGGGTGATGGTTTGGGTGGGCTGGGGGCAATGGCCACGGAACTGGGGGGTTGAAAGTGGGGTTGGGGGTGATGGTTTGGGTGGGCTGGGGGTAATAGCCACAGAAACGGGGGATTGATAGAGGGGTTGGAGGTGATGGTTTGGAGTTGGTGGGAGGGTCTTGGGGTTGGCAGCTGGAGACACAGATACTGTGGAGGGGGATGATGGGGGTTGATGGTTGGTGCTGAGGGTACTTTGGGGTTGGGGGCTCAGGAAGGGTTTTAGGAGGAAGGTCAAGGGCTCGGGGAGAGCGGGAGATGGTGCTTGAGGGCTCCGAGGGCTTGGGAAGCTCTGGGGCCAGATGCTTGGGGGGAGGCCGGGGCTGTGGAAGCACCGGTGCCCCCCAGGGGCTGGGGAATGAGGGGTGGGCTGGGGCAGACGGTCAAGGGCAGGGAGGTTAATGCTGGGGGGGTTGGTACCTGGGGGATGGATTTGGGGGCCTGATGCTCAGGAGGGGCTGCAGGAGCTGGGTGTTTGGTGTGAGTGAATTGGGCCCCAAGGTGCCCTGGGGGGTAGGAGGTCTGAGGGGCCCCCCCAAAGGCACCGAGCGGATCACAGAGGAGCCTCTGGAGGTCCCTGGGGTGTTAGGGACCTGGTGAGTGGGGGGCGTCTAGGTGGATGGACACCCTGTGACGGTGCTGCCGGGCTCGGGGTGCCCACACACCTGCAACGCCCCCAGACTTGTGCAAGAACTGCCACCACGTCATCGCGCGCCACGAATACACCTTCAGTGTCGTCGATGACTACCAGGTGGGCGCCCACGCCGGGGGTGCCGCGCAGGGTCTCCTGCAGAGCCCCACCTGGGTTCAGGGCCACCCAGAGCTCTGCGGCGCCGGGGGCGGCTTGGCCCGGCTGCATCAGCTCCATGCTCAGGCTCTGCTCCAACGGCTGGGTGGGAAATGGGAGCCCAGGCTCGGCCCAGCAAGGCCAGGCTTTTCTACCGAGGTTGGTAGGGCCAGCGTGGGCTGTTTCAGCCCGTCTCTTCCTCGCACACCTCCTAGTGAATATCTAAAATAATGGGGAACTGGCCCCAGGGAGCCCTTGGGCCTTGCTCCTGAGGGAAGGAAACCAGATCCTGCCGGGTCTGATTGCGATCGAGGCTCCCGGAGGCTCGGGTGCCGGCTCAGGTTTCCTGGGCCGTGCCAGGGGGCCGTGGCAGAACCGAGCACTCCACAGGAGTACACGATGCTGTGCCTACTGTGCGGCCGCGCCGAGGACTCTATCAGCGTCCTGCCCGATGACCCACGCCAGATGACGCCGCTGTTCTGAAGCGCCTGCCACGCACGGCCGCCTGGCCCCACCGCCCGGACGCGAGAARCACGGGCATGGCGGTGCCACAACCTCGGTCCCTCCTCTGGTGAAGAGAGCGGGGGAACACGGGGTGTCCCCCACCTAAGCGGTGCAGCAGTGGGTGGCCACCCCAGCTGCCTCAGCGGAAAGGGCAGCGTCTGTGCAGGCAATAAAAGCAGACCTGCTGTGACCTGGTGGGGCAGCCTGGCGCTTTGGCGGGGGGATAAGGGGCAGCCACTGCACAGGTGGGAACAGGAGCTGAGCGGTTTCTCGTCCACCCAGGGACTTCTTGCCGCTCCCCAAAGCTAGCAAGGAGGGCGCAGCCCTTGCCAGCAGTCGAGGGGATTTTCCCCTCCGGGAGCTGGGTCTTCCTCTTCCTGGTGCCTAACGAGCCCTTCCCCAAGCCCCAGAGCCTGCTCTGTCCCAGCCTTCCAATGCTCCTGAGCCCGGCACTGCAGCGACAGGCAGTGTTCCAGCCCACCTGGGGGGACCCTGGGACGTGTTTCAGTCCACCTGGAGGGAGCCTGGCTGTCTTGAAGGGCAGCTTGGTGGGCTCGCAGACCCCCATCCCTGCCGGGCACACCAGGGCTCATGTCCCTGCTCTTCCGCCTCCGTGTAACCCAACCCTCCCCTTCCCCGGGGTGCCGGATTCCTGCAGCGGGCAGGGCTGGCCAAGCCCGGAGCAAGAAGGAGCCCGGGGTGTTGGAGCGGCTCCCAAAGCCCCAGGCCGGCCCTGTCAGCCATGGCTGCGATGCCGAGACGGGCGTCCCGAGCGCTATACAAGACACATGCAGACGGGCCCTCCCTCCGTCATCCTTTATTGCCCCCTGGCCACGCACGCCACCCCGGTGCTCCACCGGTGCGACCGCTCAGCCCCCTGCCCCATCGGGCTCCCTCCCCGCAGGCGGTTTCGGAGGGCGCCGTCACCTGGCCGGGGGCTGGGGCCACACCGCGCAGGGCGCCGTGCGCGTGCTACTTGGCCAGTTTGAGGAGGCGCTGGATGTCGGGCTCCAGCTGTGCCGTGGGCAGCCGCGGGCTGTAGCGCCGGAACGGCTCCCCCTCGGGGCCCACGAGGAATTTCTCGAAGTTCCAGGAGATGTCGTCCCGCCGCAGCGGGCTCCACACCACGAAGCGCGGCTCAGCCATGAGTGGCGCCGGGTCATCAGCCGGCGTGGGCAGGTGCGCCTTCAGGTAGGCGAACACGGGGTGCGTGTCCTGCCCGTTCACCTGGCACTTCTGGAAGAGCGTGAAGTTGGGCTCGAAGCCCCCGCCGGGGCGCACATACTTGAGGCTGTTGAGGATCTCCTCGTTGGTGCAGTTCTCCTGGGGCACAGGAGAGAAAATCCGTGCGGGCTGTCACCGCCGTCCCCCCAACCCTGCCGGGACCGCGATGTCTCCACCACCTTCCCCAACACGCCTGGCCCCTTCTCCATCCCTCCGGCCAGGCATGGAGCCACGTGGGGATGCGCCGGGGTTTACCTGGTAGCCGAACTGGTTGCAGGGGAAGCCCAGCACCACCAGCCGCCGCGGGTAACGGGCCTGCAGCTGGTTAAGCTGGGTGTAGTCCCGCACCGTGGTGCCTCAGAGCGACGCCACGTTCTCGATGAGGACCACGCGGCCCCGAAAGTTGTTGAAGTCCACCTTCTCCCCCTGCAGGGAGGTGGCGCTGAGGTCGTAGAAGGACTTGGCCACGGGCACGCTCATGGCTGCAGGCGGCGCTCTGTGGCCCGCGCTGCCCCGCCGCTCTCTTAAGGGCTGTGTCCCGCCCACGTGACGCCCCGCTCCAAAGGTCTCCTTGTCCCGGTGTGGCTCGGCGGTAACCAGAGCCGGCCCACCTGCTGGCTCGGGCCCAGCGTGGGGGAGAGGAGGATGCAAAGGAGGACGCCAAGGCCGTGCTCCCGCCTGCCTCAATAATTCATGGCATCTACCAGGGTGTCATGGAACGCGGCCGAATACAGGAAGCTGGGGGGGCCATTCGCCTGAGCCTTGGTGGCTCCAGCTGCCTGGAAACACTGTATTGGGAAAAACAAGGCTTCGGAAGCAGGTGCTTGGTGTGGATGGAGGATGTGGTTGGGTTGTTGGTGAGCACTGGGTGCCCCCATGTTTTTCCTTCCCCGCACTGGTGCCGGCCACTTGCTGTGACCTTGTTCCCGTGTCCTTCCCTGGCCTCTGTCACGCTGTCCTGCCCTTGCAGTCCCTGATGGCCCTCCCGATGCTGCCTTCCATCCTGGCCCCGCTGCTGCCTTAGTGCCCACCACCATCCCACACCCATCTTCCCTAGTACCCACCACAACCTCAATGCCCACCACCATCCCACACCCACCTGCCCTAGTGCCCACCACCCTGGTGCCCACGTGGTGCCACACCCTGCCCTAGTGCCCACTGCAGCCCCAGTGCCCACCACCATCCCACACCCGTCTGCCCTAGTGCCCACCATGATCCCAGTGCCCATCACAATCCCATAACCACCTGCCCTGGTGTCCACCACCATGCTGGTGTCTGCTTAATGCCTTGGTGTCTCCCTCTGTCCCTTACCCCCGTCTTGCTGCCCGCCACCGTCCCCTGCCCAGTGCTGCCTTGGTGTCCATCATAAGTATCTTCTGCTGCCCAGTGCCTCTCCCCAGGCCCCTGTGGTCCCTTGGGGCTGCTCCCTTGGCTCCAGTTTGAGCCCAGAGCCATGGCGGTCACAGTACCCTCCATAGACCCGTCCCCAAGCCGGGAAAGGGGACACCAACCCAGCAGCCCTCGGAGCAGCCTGAATTATTCACGGACGAGGAGGGTGGTGGTGGCAGCACATGAACCGGCCCACGGGGCACTCCAGCATCACCTTTATTCCGGAGGCTGCGTGTGTAAAACCAGGCGCAGGGCCCTGGTGCGTGGAGGGGCCGGGAACCGAGCATGAGGGGCAGGGCGGGGCCAAGCACACCCGCAACACACACACACACACACACGGAGGGGACACGGTGGGCAAGCGGCCGGGGGGCAGGGGGACGCGGCGGTGGGATGGCCAGGAACCTGTGCCCGCTGCCCCGGGAAGGAGGCGGCACCGAGAGCAGCCCCTTCCTTGCCCGCGCCTGGCTCTCCTCCACATGCATGGCCCGGCCCCCGGGGTGCCCTGTCCCCATCGTGGATGGGAGCCGTGAGCCGGGCAGGAGGAAGAGGAGGGAGGCAGGTGCCGCGGTGGGGTCGCCTCAGCACCAGCAGGCCTTGGGCGCCTCCTCGGCGCCCGCCGGCGGGAGCTCGTCCTCATCGAGGCGTGCCAGGTCCGCGGGCGCCGCGGCAGCACGGAGCCCCGCCAGCTCCTTGCGGTGCGCCTGCAGCACCAGCTCCGTGAGCCGCGTGAAGGACTGTGGGAGAGAGCAGCTACGTGGGCCCCGGCGCCCCCGGTGCCTCCGGCACCTCTGGCCGGCCCCGCTCACCTCCTTGATGTTCAGGTTGCTGCAGGCACTTGTCTCATAAAAGTCCATGCCGTACTCGCGGGCCAGCTGTAAGGCAAGGTCACAGCGATGGCTGCACAGTTCCTGTCTGCCCCCCCCCCCCCCCAAAAATTGCTGCACCCCCCTCTGCGCATCTGCATGGTGGGATCACGCTGGCTGTGCTGGGGGGCCCTGTGGGTGCTGCAGGCGCCAGGAGTCCCTGCTAGGTCCCTATAGGGTATTTCAGGCTGCAAGGGGGGTTGCTGGAGGGGTCCCTGCACTGTGGGGACCGGGGAGGGCGCAGGGCTCACCTGCAGACCTTGCTCTTTGGCCACTTGCCTCTTGTGCTCCTCATCCGCCTTGTTGCCGATGAGGATTTTCTGCACACCGTCTGGCGCGTACTGCGGTCGGGGGGTGGCATCAGGCCCCGCTTGGCGCCTGCAGCCGTGGCCCCCACCTCAGTGCCCCTACCTCATCCACGTCACTGGCCCACTTCATGACGTGCTGGTAGGAGCGCTCGCTGCTGATGTCGTACACCAGGAAGATGCCCTGCGCCGAGAGGGGCCGGGCAGCGCCGCGGCGCCGGCTCCTGCCACACACCCCCGTCACCCCCCTGCCCGATCCATGGCGCTGCGCCCCTCCTGTACCTGTGCCCGCCGGTAGTACTGCTTGGTGATGGTCTGGTAGCGCTCCTGGCCTGCCGTGTCCCTGGGGGCGGGTGGCACGGGGCGCTCGGCAAGGGCCCTGCCAGGGCCGCCACCAGCGCCCCAAACTGCTCAGGTCTCCGTTCCCCCAGCGGGAGGCAGTGAAGCAGCGGGGGCGGGGAGGGGGGAACAAGCCATGTGAGACCCCCTCCCCCCACACTCTGGTCCCACCTTACTCCTGCATCCACTCCCAGGCTGAGGTGCCTGCAGGAGGGTGGGATGGGGTCCCAGGGTGCTGCCCACGCAGGTGATACCCGGCCATGGGGATGGCAGGGCGGACACACACAGACACAAACGACCCGCCCCCCCCGCCCTGGTAGCGGCCGGCAACTCACCAGATCTGTATCCGCACCTTGATGCCGTCCACTTCTATGGTCTTCATCTTGAAGTCGACCCCTGCGGGAAGGGGTGGTGGTGGCGGTGTGGGTGGTGACAGTGGGTGCGGGTGGTGGGTGATGGGTGCAGGTGGTGGCAGTGGGTGGTGGGTGACGGGTGCAGGCGCCCCGCGCCGTGCCCGGCGCCGCCCCGCTGCTCACCGATGGTGGAGATGTGCGCCGGGTGGAACTCGTTGTCGGTGAAGCGGCAGAGCAGGCAGGTCTTGCCCACGCCCGAGTCGCCGAGCAGCAGCAGGCGGAAGAGCACGTCGTACTGCTTGGCCATGGCGGGCCGCGATGCCGCCGGGCGCCGCCGAGGGGCGAGCGGGAGCGCGGGAGGCGCCCGGCAGGCGCCGGCGGTGGGAACTGCGGGCGGGGGGCGCTCCGGGATGCGCCGGGATGAGGAAGGGGACACCCCCGGGATGCACTGGGTGGGGAGGGGGGAGGCGCCAAGGATGGGCACGGGGTACCGGGTGGGACATGGGATGGGGGATGCACTGGGACATCATCAGTGTGCTAGCGATGTGCTGGGACATCACCTGCGCCCCAGAGATGTGCTGGTGATCACCTGGGACATCACCTGCACGCTAGGGACTTGCTGGGAGATCACCTGGGATCTCCTGGGATCACCTGGATTGCCCAGGACATCACCCACACCCTGGGGATGCACTGGGACATCACCCATAACCTAGGGATATGCTGGGACATCACCCGCGCCTCAGGGATGCACTGGGACATCACCCACACCCCAGCGATGCACTGGGACACGACCTGCGCCCCAGGAACACACTGGGACATCACCCATGCCCTATGGATGCACTGGGACATCACCTGCACCCCAGGGACGCACTGGGGCCACCAGGTGCACACAGGGAGGCCCCAGGACGCGGCAGGCAGGAGCCAGGCGGTGTGCGGGGCACCCCGGGGCTGGGGCCAGGCTGGTGATGGGGAGAGCCTGGGAATGTGCTGGATGGGACATGGGTGAGGGGACACCCTAGGGATGCAGGGAGGGCACTGGAGCCATGATGTCACCTCACCGCTGTACCATGATGTTACTGAACTGCTGTGTCATGGTGTCACCGTTCCACTCTGCCATGACATCATCACTCTATTGTGCCATGACGTCACCTCACCGCTGTACCATGATGTCACCTCTGTGCTGTGTCATGCCGTCACTGCTCCACTGTGCCAGGACATCACTGTGTCGCTGTGCCATGATGTCACCTCACTGCACTGCCATATGAAGGCACTGCTGTGCCGCCAGGCTATGACATCACGGCGCCGCAGGGCACCGCTAGGCTATGGCGTCACCCCCCGGCCCCACCATGACATCACGGCGTGACGACACAGCTGCGCGGTGACGCAACGCGGCGGCGCGCAACCCCTCCCCCCGGTGGCGGTGCGCGCATGCGCGGCGGGGCGGCGCCGGGCC